TGAGTAAAGCACACATGTACCCATTGAATGCCACCACATTTGAATGATCCTAATTATAGTTTCATCCTAACAAGGTAGGGAGGGAAAACATGATGGTGAGGTGGGGGTGGGGGACCAGTGGTGAGGAGGGACCCTCATATGACATGATGATGAGGGACTAAAAAAGAATCTGTTCACATTCTGCTAAGATTTCCCATAGTTTCTTTCAAAATACTGCAAGTCTTTTTTTGCAGTTTCAGCCTGGACTCAAAGCCAGGGCCAAAGTTCAAACAATGTCAAAGTTTGTTTTTGAAATAAAAGTTTATTTCCTCATGGAATTCTTCAAGGGTTTTTGTCTGCCTCATGTGTGAAGCATTGAATCTGGGCCGAAAGGAATTTATTTTACGACCTTGAGCCAACTTGGGCTCACACACCTATTGCCCTAGGATATGATTGATGGTTGTGTAAGTTTCCAATGCACCCCTGGAGGTCCAGCTGTGGGATGTACCTCCTCACCCCTGCTGGAAGCCTCTGTTGCCTCAATGGCAGAAATGTGCTTTCTCCTCTCAAATCTTGTAGCATTGCTCCACTTCCCGTTCCCACTCATTTCAGAGTAGTCATTGATTAGTGTGGGTTTTGTCTCCATTGTTGACTGAACCGTGGGCTCTGTTCTGATTGGTTTGCTTTCTTTGGGCCTGTCTGAGAAGAGAGGGTTTTCTAGTGTTCTCAACTGCTGAGCCAAGCCTTAATGCCAAAAAGGGTAAGTGACATTTTAAAAAAGTCAATCTAGTATTTGCCAATTCTTGTTAATTTCTCCTGGTACAGATGCTTAGAACCAGGGAACAGCAACAGAATGGTAGAGTGGGGACTGAGGAGCAGCCTTTTTATCCCTGTACTGTGTGTGTGTGTGTGTGTGTGTGTGTGTGTGTGTGTGTGTGTGTGTGTGTATTCATTTATAAAGAAAACATCTTCATTGAGTCTCAAGGCAAGAGGATATGGAGTGAAATGTATATTATTCCAATTTAGATAAACAACTGATTGATTGCCCTGGCCAGTGTGGTTCAGTTGGTTGGAGCATCATCCTGTACACCAAAAAGTTGAGGGTTCAATTCCTGGTTAGGGCACACACCTGGGTTGCAAGATCGATCTCTGGTCAGAGCTCATTTGGGAGGCAACCAATGTTTCTGTGTCTCTCTCCCTCTAAAATCAACAAACATATTTAAAAAAATTTTAAACCTTAAAAAAACAATTTATTGATTATAGAGCAATGGCAAGGAGAATACTGGGATCGCTGCTTAGCAGCCAAGGTTCTTATATTTGAGAGGTAGCAACATGGGAGCAGCTTTTTTGTTGTTGTTGTTGTTGTTAGCTTCTCTCTATTTTCTCACAATAATACACAGCCCCTGGATGGGGAAAGGGCAGGAGGAGCCATGACAGGGTGAGGTGGGCAGGGAGGAGGTGCCTGCTTCCATGGGGGAACCTTTTTAAAACAAGACTGAAGGCTGTACTAGAAGGTTGGTAGGTTGCATGAGGTTTGCTCATCAATTTTCATTTTGCAGCTATGGAAACTGCCAGCTTGGAGGAAGAAAAACGGCATATCCTGTGTTACTTATTTATTCTTTCAAATTCAGTTTTTGTTGAAATTCTTGGTTCTTAGCAGCAGTTAGACGGGATTGGAGGTGGGAAGGAAAGCAGAGGCCTTGTTGGTTGTGAGTGGTCAATTCTCCCATTTTCCTCCCACTTGTCTGGCCACTGTCTTACTCTGCTTCTAGGTTAGACCCATATCCCATTCCACAGGTAGGCCCAGCTTAGGCTCAGATCACAACCCTTAGCACAGTGATGGATGAACTGCTACGGGTCTGGAGTCTGGGAATTGGTGGGTGGTTAGGAAACACTCAGCGTTTCAGGTCTAGCTTAGTTGTTAGGGGACTCTCCTTTCTCCCCTTTGTACCTTCCCCTTCCTCCTTCTGAATGTGTAGTGTCAAGGTTTATAGGCAAATCAAAGCAAATGTTTAACTCACAGAGCATTTCCTAGCTACTAGGCACTCAGTATGTGGGTGCATAGCAGGCTTGCCCTTCATGTCTGCCTCTCCCACTCTCTCCACAGGAAAAAGAGTAAAGGACAAGAGCTCTCCTTCCCTGCTTCAGGCAGTGTTCTGCTCCAGAATCCTGTGACTCTCTATTACCCCTTGGGCCAAGTTAAATCCTTTAGTAAGGTCCGTCATATCCGTCTCTGCCTATAAGCCAGCTTTATTTAGTGATTCATCTACATACATTTTCTGAGTACCTAGTGTGTGCCAGTTGCTGGGCTTGGCAATGGGCATACAGAAATGAGAAAGACAGGCATGCTCCCTGCCCTCATGGAGCTAACAGTCTAGCAGGAGAGACATTATTAGAAACAAAAAGTTATTAGTATTAAACAAAGATAATTGTGTGGAGATTGTTCTGGAAGGTTATGTGGGAGCACAAGCCAGGACCCATCGCCTTGGCTGCTTGCCAGCCCCAGGCAGCCTTGCTGAAGTGTGGCACTTGTAGAACCCCAACTTTCCTACCACAGACCAGAACCAGGCTCCTGTACTCCATCCCCAGAGCCTCTCTACATCCAGGCCTGCTTCTTATTTGAAGTCTCACCTTTCTTGTTGGGAATAGACTGGAGATAAGAAGAAAGGCAAAAACTTATATTTCCTTGACTTCTATCATGATACATGCTATGCAGTCCCGATCTGGCCCTGGGGAAGGGAGGAGGGGCTCTGTTCTGAGATGGCCCCATTGCAAGTCCTTGATGTTTCCTTGATGAAAGCCAGGGCCAGGGCACTGAGGAGGCTGGAGTGAGCAGACTTGGCTGGGGGGAAGGGCATGGGTCCAAGGCAGATTTGCTTGGAGTTGAGCTTGTTATTATAGAGCACTGAAAGATTCATCAGCTTCAGGAATTAGAATAGTGAGGGCAGCTCAGACACCAGACCCGGCCCAGGCCTGCCACCCTCTGGCAGAGATGCTCTGCCCACACAGTCTCCTTCAATCTGCTCATACCTCATTTCTTTTTTTCCAGAACAGAGATCAGTCTAAACAATCCATAGGTCAAGGGAAAATATCCCTGGAGAGTCAAGCTAAATCCCTACTTCCTGCCAGTTACTCTCTTGGCTCAGGTTTGAGTTCGCCAAATAGAGAATTTCAGGTCCTTATTCTGCAACCGAACTTTACAGTTCAGAAAAGTGGTTGACTTTTGCCCATTTGCTTATTCTTATTTTAGTTAGAACCCAACTTTTCCAGTATCCATGTTTCAACTTACTGAACAGGGAACATCTATATACTGCAAAGGGTAATTAGATTACTCTTAACTAGTTGTGGAGCCCTCTTGAGCTGTTCAAGGGACAATCCTATAAAGCAAGGAATGAAATCAGGCACACTCAGGCTCATTAGTGCAGACACATATATCCTGTTCGAAGTGCTATACTAACAGATTATAAGAGATTAAAGGGATGGAAATATTTTTAGGAGAAAATATGAGAGGCAATTACCAAAAAAAGAAGAAATGGAACCACACAGAATTCAACGAAGTGGGTTAGAGAAGAATCAAATGCAAGCTCATTGTGTTAAAAATAGTGCTCTGATTGTCTTTAGGAGCAGGGATTGGATGGGGCAGGGGAGAGCAACTTGGGGGTGTTGGGGACAACTGTAACTGAAAAACAATTTAAAAAAATAAGTGTTCAGAGTGGAAGCTCCCTAACTGCACAAGGACATACATACAATTAGGCACTCTGGTTTTCTGAGGACACCAGTGTCCCCCTCTCCTCTACTTTCTACAATGGAGAGAAATCAGCACGCCACCACAGAGCTGCCAGCACAGAAAGCACACCCTGGCTCTGGTACCAGTTCCGCCTCCTCCGTAGGCATCCTTGGAGCCCAGTTTGGCCAGGTTCTGGGCTCTCTTTTTGCCTAAACTATGGGATGGCATATCTCTATCGGAACCGATTGTATTGTTCCCGAGAACGGGTTTGTATTCATTCATTCATTCATTCATTCATTCATTCATTCATTCTTCATTCATTCCAAAGCCTTTACAGCAGTTTAGGCACTTTGGGACTCCCCAGAGACACTACCCTCCTGAGTAGTGAAGTGAGATATTTGTTTCTTTCCTCCTCGCTTCCAAGCTCCTGGGAGCTAGAAGGGGGGACTCAGCCTAATCCAAGCCCCTGCGTGGCACCGCGTACACGTTTGGGTAAGGAAAGCTAGATGAATGAAGTCAGACTTTTGGGTCAGTCTTTGCTGATTACTCGCCGGTGTGAGCGCCTGGTGCCTCTGAATTTTTGTTACGTACGAAGAAAAAGTTTAAGTGAAATTAAAAAACCGAGCAGAAAACAAGTTTATCAGTCCCGGGACTCGAGCTCCGCAAGAGGACGCGGGCACACATACTGCACCGAACATCCATCTCTCTCTCTCTCTCTCTCTCTCTCCCCCTCTCTCTGTCTCTCTCTCTGTCTGTCTGTCTCTCTCTCTCTCTGTCTCTCTCTCTCTCTCTCTCTCTCTCTCACACACACACACACACACACACACACGCCCCACTCACGCGGACATTCCTTCTTTCACGCTCCAGCTCGCTCTTTTTACTCCTACTTCCCTTTCCCTCCTCTCCCGGATCAAGCGTTAATCTGCGAATCTCTGACCGAAAGGAAAAAAAAAAGGTGGGTGGGGGGATCCCGAAGTAGCAGAGTGAGGGAGGAGGAGGTGGAGAAAGGCGGGGAGGAGGAGGAGGAGCCCAGCGAACCAGAGTCAGAGGGACTGGTGGCTCCAGCGAGTGTACAGCCCTGGGGGGAGCCGGCGCTCTAGGCTGGGAACCCGTCAGCCTGTCCCCCACCCCCACCCCAGCCCCCGCCCCGCGTCTCCCGCGCCCGCCCGCTTGCCGGCCCGCGCCCAGGGGCCTGCTACACCCTGAGCTGGGGCCGCCTCTCAGGGACGCTAGGGCCAGGGGCGCCACTTGTGGCGAGCCCGACGCGCCGCCAGGCTGGTCCCCCAAGCCCGGGATGCCGTTCTACAGGCGCACGGTGGTGCCCCAGCGCCTGTGCCCGCGCAACCCGCCGCAGCCGCTCACGGAGCTCCGCGACGTGAGCCACCTGGCCGCGCTCAGCCTCCTCCGGCAGCTCGCCGACCTCTGTGGCCACTCGCTGGCTCTGCTCGAAGACCTCGAAGGGCACCTGCTGGCCCTGGGGCGCCGCACCGACAGCCTGGTCCGGCGCACTGTGCGCCTCCGTCGCCGCCTTCCCTGCCGCCTGCTTGGCCCCGAGGACGACCAGGACCAGCTAGGTAACAGCGCTCGGGCAACTCGCGGCCCCGCGACTACCCCGCCTTTGGGGGCGCCAGTGAGCGCCCGCTCAGCGCCCACCCCTCCCCCTCCCTCCCTGCTCCACCCCTTCCCTCCTCTCCCTTCCCCTCAGGGAGTGAGGGGATCCTGTTTCTCTGACTCCCCACTCTCCGCTCTCCCGCTGGAACTTCCTGCTCCTGGGCTCTGCCGCGCCGTCCTGAGTGGACCTGTGCCCTCGGGGCTCCCGGCCTTGGGGTTGGCGGCCGCCTCCTGGGGAACTGGGGGAGGAAGGAGGAGGTGGGAGCCACTGGGTCCTGGACAGCTTCAGCGCCGCCCCCAGGCCCGAGGCGCCCTCATCTTCGCGGCGTCGGGAACCAAATGGCCGCGCTGCTGGCGTCTTTGCCTCAATCCAGGATCCCAGCCACTTCCGAAAGCGCGCCCCAGCCGCCAGCCACCTACGCGACCGCAGGAGACTGGCGGCGGTGCCTACCGGCTTTAAACCTGTGCAACTTTGCGCTTGAGTGTGATTGCGGCTCGCACTCAGAGAAGTATCTTGAGCGCCCACCCGCCTACTTCTCCCCACAAGTTTGGGCTGCTGCGCCAGGAGTGACCAGTGAAGGGTGGTGGGAAAGAGAGACTGGCCCCGGCTTCTCTGATCCCCTACCCAAAAATTTTCTTGAGAGAACCATTTAAAGCAATTGTCATCAATTCGTGATTGTTTAGGGATCAGCCATGACTGAGAAACCCAGCAGTGCTCTGGCTGAGGACGAAGGACCCCTGAAAGGGAAGGAGGGCAATGCGAGCCCTTGTCCTTTACTATTTTGGACCCTAACACTTTGCATGGGGAATCCTCTATCCATGAAAATGCAGTGATCCCTTAGAGTGTGGCCTTTTGTTGAAAGCAAGGGGACTGAATGTGCTGGAAATGCTGACCACAGCTGGGCATGCCAAGTACCAGGGCCAATTGTCACCACCAAAAAGTTAGGGGAGAGGAACAGTGTAGCCAGAAAGTTTCTGATGGGGAGCAGAAGATGGCTACTGGCTGACTTTTGAGTGCAAACCTCCAGCTGTCTTGGGAAAGAATTGCCTGGGTCAGATCCTGTCCACTTTAGACCCCATGTTGCCCCTGCACCGTCCAGTAGGACAGGAGTCAGAGGCCCTGGCATTTCTCTTCAAAAACGTATCTGACCTCTAAGGTAGATGGAGGAGGGCACTGGTGAGGAAAAAATGAACTGGGTCCTATGGGAAAAGGAAGGTAGAAGATACAGATGACTGTCAGATGCAACGTAGGACACGGGACTAGAAACCTCTGCATGGCAGGGGACCAGGAAAGCTGGGGCCCTAGGCCTGGTTAGTTTTCAGTTAACAAAGAGGGTAGGAAGGTCATTGTTGATTTTCTGGGGTCCCACTGACTACCAGGATTAGCCTAAGAGAAATCTGATAAGTCATCCTGGGGAGTAGTTTTCAAAATCCCCACACAGCTTGCAGAGAGCCACCTACTGAGTTTAGCAGGTTAAGTTAAGGACAGGGAGGAGGCTCTGAACTTCCAATTTGTACCTTTCTGCCGGCTAATTGGAAAGCCTTTTCCACAAGAGGGAAAGCCTTGCTTCACCCAGTCACCTTGGGACCTAGTGCTTTCCAGTGATCTGCTGGGTTAGAAAAGAGATAGCTTTATGCAGTGGATATCTTTTAAAGGAAAGGAGCAGTTCTTAGAGTGAATTGCATTGGTTTTATTTCTTTGAAGTTTGCAAGAGCTGGGAAAGGAGCCACCTCTCATCTCCAGTGTGGACACTTGCCTTCGAGAATGTACTTGTCTCTGGGCTCAGAGGCACTGAGCAGTCTGCTGCATGCATGGAACACAGCTACCTTAATTTGGCCAGAAGTTCTGGTTTTCCATTTTCTGGTCTAACACCCTACCCTACACTACCCTTGAGGTTCCCACTGCACACTTTTCTCTTCAGGAGCTTTGAGTGTGTAGCAATTATCTGAGCATAAATGTCTAATGCAAAGAGAATTGGGAGCATAATCAGTGTACCATCTGGCCACCGCCTTGTCACTACAGCATAAGCTTCAACAAGGTGTTCAGCAGGCTGTATACTATATTTGACCCCAAATAAATATCCTATTTTTTAAGCATTGTCAGGTCTTGCCCGTTTTTCTTTCCTGTGTCTTTTCCTCCTAGCACCTACTCTTTTAATGACTGTCTTGCTGGTAGTCAGCACTCCCAGCCAGCATTTTACCCTATATATCATCCTCTATCTAGCTGGATTTCCCCCAAATTCTTTCTTTACCTAATTCTTTGACCATGGAAGCAGGAAAGACCTGGGAAAGAGAGAGAAAGGTTTGGAAACAACATGGCTGGAGTGTATGACAACCTGACAGGCCAGCATCTTGTAGCATCTCTGCAGGGACAGCTTGGTTGCCACCTACAGACTGAGTAATGGCAAGTCAGGATGGCTCATAGCCTTCAGGCTTCTGGCTACCAGACTGCAGGCTGGCCTGGGGCCCTGGGAGGCAGAGGGGAAAACAAGGAGAAGAGAAGGAGAGAGGCAGAGGCAGAGAATGTTGATGCTAAAGGAGTCCAAAGTGCTCTTCTACACAATCAGGGGTCATGTCCCCACCATCTTCAAGGTTACAAGGGTAAGACTTGGGCTGGGCTGGTTGCCTGGAAACACCCTCTCCTTCCCTGAATGCTGTTCTTTGGTAACTTGAACCCCTTTGAGACTGCCCTTGAAGCTCTTATAACTGGTATGGGATGGGGGTTGGGAGGAAGAGAGGGTGTGCTACAGGACTGCATTGGACTCCTCTGATTGTGGATCTGTGGTTGCTGCCAAACCCTTGCCATGGCCCTTCTTATAACTTGAATTTTTTCATATTTGGTTTTTCACGTGACCTGTTTTATTACATTCATGTTCTGTACCCTGTACTCTTCATCTCAAGAGTGGCATTGTCAAAACCAGTGGGAAATAGAAATCCCTGCCTGCTGCCATATGCTGAGTCAATCCAAGCTTTCCAATTTCTCCCTTGGAGATCTGTCTAATGTTTGTAGGTGCTTAGATGATAATTACAAATGCAATCAGACCATTGCCCTAGAGGTATAATATCTTCTGTGCAAGCAAGGAAGTCCCTGAAGCACTAGACAACTCTAGGTATGTTTAATAACACCAGGGAGCGATCATGCTACCCTAGCCCATGAACTTGCTCTGGGAAAGATGCACTGTTCCTCTTGCAATTATTTTGGCTTTAAAACAGCCAGTTAGGACCAATGGTGGAAACTCCCTCTTCATCTTTATGTCAAATTCCTGTCTCTTGATTTTCCAACTTTCTGGCAACTCTGGCTTCAAACTATAAAGGACAGCTGGTTTATTTATGTTTAAATCATAATTCCAGTGAGAGGGGAGACTATCATAAGTCTATATGGAGGTGAGAACATGAAAGCTGCATCTCTAGACTACTACAACCAGATTATCATTTTAGATGAGGTGTCCTAGACCCTAAATCTGAATGCCATTGCTCTTGTGGAGGTGACATGGCCTACTTGAGTCAGATGAAGCAGGAGGAATTTGGGGGAATTTGGGGGACTTGGAACAGGCACTATGCTAGTGCTCACTTTGTCTCTGTCCTATGCTAGAGACCCTTGGGAGAGTGGATTGACAGAATAGGGAGGAGGAGCAGGCCCATTTTCTTTCAAATACCATGAAATTCCTGGTCTGTTTCATGGTATTTCCATGTATTAAAACATCTTTCTGGGAAATTTGGACACTAAAATGTCCTCTAGAATATCCTCTACTTTAGAAACAAGAAATTCAATATTTTTTTTTTAGACACGTGAATGGCTAAAGTGATAATAAGTGTCAGGATGACAGAATAGTACAGTAATAGGAGAAAATTCAAGTTATGGCTCTTTGACCTTTATGAAGTTGATTAGGTGTCAGGAGGACAATGATGAATTTAAATCATCTATCCTTGTATTTCTCTGGCTTGGCCAAAACTCTTGACTACTGAGTCCCAGAAAAAGGAAGGGACTTGTCCAAAGGCACCTGGCTGGATAAAGATCTTTAGTAGCCCTAAGTGCTACAAAGATTATAGTGCTTCTCCATAGGTAATTGCAAATGGAAGCAACACAAAACCTTCAAATAAATACTTTTTTAAAAAATTACTCAAAGTTCCACATGTACGTTGAAATTAAAATGGCTTTTTATTAATTCTTTAATTCTCTCTTTCGTACTCCTGTTGTTGATGGCCTAGGTGAGTACTTAATATGTCTCTTGGGGAATGTGGCACTGGCTAGGTCACATAGCAGGTCAGTAGCAGGAGGCCTTGATCTAGAAGCCAGGCCTTCTGACATCCATGGCGGTGCTCTGCCCTCTGCAGTGATGCTAAGTTCAAAGTCAGTTGTTAATTGAGAGTCAGTGCCCTGGCATTTTTTTTGTAGCTGGAACTTATCCAGGATGAGAAATGACTCCTGCTACTTTTGGGAACCATGACATGCTCTAAAGTACAGAGTCCCTGTGATTTCTGCAGTTGGGACTTGGGGGGTGAGCTGGAGGTGGAGGGGAGGAAGGAAGGTCAACCGTAGAGAACAGATGTGAGGCAATAGGCTCCCTTCTTAAAACAGCCTCCTTTAAGTTTTGAGTGGGAAATAGTTTTGGGAAAATAATCTTCAAGGGGGCAGGGGTGGTTGGGCCAGTGATTCTGTTCTCTGGAGGTTACCTTTCCACTGCGATATTTCACTCATAATCCTTCTATCATCTCTATACGAGATTTGTCCGGAAAAAGTCCAGCCATTGTTAATATAAATTGAACAGTTTGTGCGACATTGATGTAACTTGGCAGCCAAAGAGAGTAGACTGGAATGTATATGCATGAACAGTAATGACCTCACTATTCTAGTTAGTGGGGGTGGTAGACGCCATTGAGTGAGCATGCATACTGTGTGGCTGTCGCATTCAAAATGACTGAGCAAGCAGAGCAACGAATTTGCATAAATTTTTGCATTAAG